CCTTTAATGTCTTTTTGTTGTCTGATTGCTGAGGCTAGGACTTCCGGTACTATGTTGAGTAGCAGTGGTGAGAGTGGACATCCCTGTCTGGTTCCTGATCTTAGGGGAAAGGCTCCCAGTGCTTCCCCATTGAGAATGATATTTGCTGTGGGCTTTTCACTGATGGCTTTTAAGATGTCGAGGAAAGTTCCCTCTATCCTTACACTCTAAAGAGTTTTGATCAGGAATGGATGCTGTATTTTGTCAAATGCTTTCTCTGCATCTAATGAGAGGATCATATGGTTCTTGGTTTTTCTCTTGCTGGTATGATGAATCACACTGATTGTTTTACGAGTGTTGAACCAGCCTTGTGTCCCGGGGATAAATCCTACTTGGTCATAGTGAATAATTTTCTTAATGTACTGTTGTGGGACCATTTTTCCAACAGCATTTGATCACTTTGTGTTTCTGTCACATTTTGGTAATTCTTACAATATTTTAAATGTTTTCATCATTATTTTATTTGTTGTGGTGATCTGTGATCACCGATCTTTGATGTTACTACTGCAATTGTTGTGGGGTGCCACAAGCTGCACCCACGTACAATGGTGAACTTAATAAATATGTGTGTTCTGACCACTCCACTGACTGGCTGTTCCCCCATCTCCCTTCCTCTTCCTATTCCCTGACACACAACAATATTGAAATTAGGCCAATTAATAACCTTACAATATAGCCTCTAAGTGTTCAAGTGAAAAGGAGGAGTTGCATATCTTTCACTTTTAGTCAAAGCTATAAATGATTAAGCTTAGTGAGAAAGGCATGTCAAAAGCCAAGATAGACTTAAATCAAGGCCTCTTGTGTTAACCAGTTAGCCAAATTATGAGTGCAAAGGCAAAGTTCTTGAAGGAGATGAAAAGTGCTACTCCAGTGAACATACAAATAATAAGAAAGTGAAATAGTCTTATTGTTGATACAGAGAAAGTCTGAGTGGTCTGGATAAAAGATCACACCAGCCACAATATTCTCTTAAGCCAAAGCCTAATCCAGAGCAAGGCCTTAAGTCTCCTCAATACTGTGAGGGCTGAGAGTAGGGAGGAAGTTGCAGAAAAAGAGCTGGAAGCCAGCATAGGTTGGTTTATGAGGCTTACAGAAAGAAGCCATCTCCATAACATCAGAGCGCGGGATGAAGCAGCAGGTGCTAATGGAGAAGCTGCAGGAAGTTATCTAGAAGACCCAGGTAAGACAATTCATGAAGGTGGCACACCAAAGAACAGATCTTCAAATTGGTGAAACAGACTTCTATTGGAAGAAAATGCCATCTAAGACTTTCATAGCTAGAGAGGAGAAGTCAGTGCCTGGCTTCAAAGCTTCCAAGGACAGGCTGACTCTCCTGTTGGGGGCAAATGCAACTGGTGACTTTAAGTTGAAGCTAATACTCATTTGCCATTCCCCAAATCCTAGAACCCTTAAAAATTATGGTAAATCTACTCTGCCTATGCTCTATAAAGGAAATAACAAAGCTTGGGTGACAGCACATCTGTTTATAAGATGATTTGCTAAGTATTTTAAGCCCACTGTGAGCCGTACTGCTTAGAGAAGATTCCTTTCAAAATATGACTACTCATTGACAATGCACCTGTCACCCAAGAGCCCTGAGAGAGAAATACAGGATTAATGTTGTTTCATGTCTGCTAACACAACATCCATTCTGTGGCCCTTGGATCAAGTAGTAATCTTGACTTTCAAGTCTTATATTTAAGAAATACATTGTGGGGCAACTGGGTGGCTCAGTGGTTGAGTGTCTGCTTTTAGGTCAGGGTGTGATCCCGGGGTCCTGGGATTGAGTCCCACATTAGGCTTCCCTGCAGGGAGCCTGCTTCTCCCTCTGCCTACATCTCTGCCTGTGTGTGTGTGTGTGTGTGTATGTCTCTCATGAATAAATAAATAAAATATTTTAAAAAGAAATACATTACATAAGGATATAGTAACCATAGATAGTAATTCCTCTGATGAATCTGGGCAAAGCAAGTTGAAACCCTTTTGAAAGGATTCACCATTCTAGATGGCATTAAGAACATCTGTAATTTATGGGATAAGGTCAAATATCAACATAAAACAAGAGTTTAGAAGAAGTTGACTCCAACCTTGAAGGATAACTTTGAGGAGTTCAAGATTGCAACGGAGGAAATAATTACAGATGTGGTGGGAAGAGCAAGAGAACCAGAATTAGAAGCAGAGCCTGAAGGTGGGGCTGAAATGCTATAATCCCATGGTAAAACTTTAACAGATGAAGAATTGCTTCTTATGGATGAGCAAAGAAAGTGGTTTCCTGGGATGGAATATATTCCTGGTGAACATGCTGCGAAGATTGCTGAAATGGCCACAAAGAATTTGGATTATTATACAAACTTAGTTGATAAAGCAGGGGCAGAGTTTGAGAGAATTAACTCCAGTTTTGAAAGAAGTTCTACTGTGGGTAAAATGCTATCAAACAGCATCACATACTATAGACATATCGTTCATGAAAGGAAGAATCAATTGATGTGACAAACTTCATTGTTGTCTTATTTTAAGAAATCGCCCCAGACACCCTGACCTTCAGCCACCACCACGATGGTCAGCAGCCATTAACATCAAGGCAAAACCCTCTACCAGCAAAAAAAATTATGACTTGCTGAAAGCTTACATGATGGTTAGCATTTTTTAGCAATCAAGTATTTTTAAATTAAACTATGTACATCATTTTTAAAGACAATGTTTTGCACACTTAATAGACTACAGTATAGTGTAAACATAACTTTTAAATGCGCTAGGAAACCAAAAACTTCATTTGACTTGTTGTATTCACTTTATTATAGTGGTCTGGAACTGAACATTCAATATCTCCAAAGTATGCCTGTACATTGAACAAGGCTTACCTAGACCAAATAAATGGGCTTCTCATGTCTAGCAACTTAAGCTCTGCTGAGAACAATGAAGGAAATCTTATCATAGGACAAGAAAAAAACCCCTATCAGGATACATCAATTTATGTAAGTAGACAAAGTATAAAGCTGCTTATCTCATTTACTTATTTATTTTATTTTATTTATTTATTTATTTATTTATTTATTTATTTATGATAGTCACAGAGAGAGAGAGAGGCAGAGACACAGGCAGAGGGAGAAGCAGGCTCCATGCACCAGGAGCCCGACATGGGATTCGATCCCAGGTCTCCAGGATCGTGCCCTGGGCCAAAGGCAGGCTCCAAACCGCTGCGCCACCCAGGGATCCCTACTTATTTATTTTAAAAATATTTTATTATTTATTTGAAACAGAAGCACAAGCAGGGGGAGCAGCAGGCAGAGGGAGAGGGAGAAGCAGGCTCCTTGCTGAGCAGGGAGCACCATGTGGGGCTCAATCCCAGAACCCTGGGATCATGACCTGAGCAGAAGGCAGATGCTTAACTGACAGAGCCACCCTGACACCCTTGCTTATCTCATTAAAAGCCTCATAAATTTCTACTAGTTAGAAATGTTCTGATTGCAAAAGACAAAAATCACCTCAAAGTCATCTAGGGAAAAAGTAGTGACAGGGGATTTTATTGGCTCAATAATTTAAAAGTCCAAGGGGAAAAAAAACAAAAGTCCAAGGGTAAAAAAGTAAATAAAAATAAAAAATAAAAGCCCAAGGGTAGAATTTCAGTCTAAAATTTCAGATGTGAATAAGTCCAAATTAAACTTAAGCTGAAAAAGAGCAAATTCAGAGCTTGGAGGGGCTGTTTATGCATATATGACGTGTGCATGTGTGTGCGTGTGTTTGGGGGTACTGGATGAAAATCAGCCCTACCTCAACTGCAAGATCTGGAGTAGGGAAGGGGTGGTTTCCGAAGGAAAACCAACATGCTTCTATTAATAGAAGAATGGATATTGGGTAGGCAAAACCAACAGATCTCTAAAATTACTTCTTCCGCAAATAGTGTTCCATGAACTCACCTGAAATTCTTATCATTATTTCTAATTGTTTTAGACTTTAGGGGATGCGTGGGTAGCTAGGTCGGTCAAGCTTCTGTCTTTAGCTCAGGTCATGATCCCAGGGTTTCTAGGATTGAGTCCCGGCATTAGGCTCCCTGCCCAGTGGAGAGTCTGTTTCCCCCCCTGCCTCTCCCCTGCTTATGCTCTCTCTCTGTCAAATAAATAAATAAAATCTTTTTTAAAAAGTAAGATTTTAGGACTCAAGAGTTTGGTACAGATACTCTGAGGCAAAGTATTAGAATCATGGGGGTGACCAAAAAATGCTTTTAAAATATACACATCTGACCCTAACCTTTCAGGTGAGGTCAGACATCTCAAGCTTTGTCCATGCATTAAGTGATTGGAAGGAATAACAAACCATACAAGGTTAATAGCAGTAGGTATCAGTTCCTCATCCCGTATCCTCCCTCCCTTTTTCTCCACCTAAGCTAACAGTGAGGACTCTTGGACGGAGTAGGAACCCCATTAATATTGGCAGAATTAAATACGGTGGAACCGAAGGAGAGGATTCACTGTACTATCCCATGTTGGTCATGTGCATGCTCAAGCACCCTCTGGGCCCATAGGGGAGAAATTACTGTTCAGAACTGGTAGGGGTCCTAGGCACCAATCAGCAACCAGTCCCAGCTTAGGGAATCAAAAGAAGTCCACATTTTCAGGGGAGATTAGAAGTCAGGTCTGGAGAGGGGATTTGGGGTTTGCTTGGTGTATGTGAAGTGCAGTAAGCAAAAGGAAGCCTGACCCCTTTGGGGCCTTGAGAGTGGTTCCTTAGGGTTGAAGCTAGAGAAAAGAGCAGGGGAGGTAAGGGCTAAGTTTATTTTTATTCAAGTGCCCAGGGCTCTAAAGAAGTGTTTATTGCAGACCCAAGTCCCACATTTTGTGCTTGGGAATTTTCTCTTTGTGAACTGAAGGAAACAATTGCAGTCTTAAACTGGATGTAAAAAAATCAGCTCGGAAATGAATCCAGATGGCCCCCTTGAACCCACTAGCTTCGGTGGCTGCGGCGCGGCGGGCGGCCACAGGGGCGCAGTGCAGCTCAGCTCAGCGGCGAAGGGACGCGGATCCTCCCCAAAACAGCAAATGCGGCTCCGCCCGGTGTCCCACTTCTATGCCTCCTAGCTTCCTGCTCCTCCATCGCCCTCCTTCTGCCAAAAAAACAAAACCCCGAAAGCCCCCAGTCATATATAGTGTGTGTAGAGCACAAAAATATTTGTAAATTGATGGTACCTACAGGGCTTGCTTATAGGTCCCTTCTCTCAGTAAACACTGGGCTTGCCCTGTAAAAAAATTGGAAATAACCCAGTGTCCAATGATCGGAGGCTGACTAAATGACTTAGGGTATATTCATACAAATAAATGCAATGTGGCCTTTAAAAGGTAGGAGAAATTATCATGAGAAAATGTTAAGTGAAAAAAGCAAAATCGATTCAAACAATATAGGGTCACCAGAGTGGCTCAGTGGTTGAGCCTCTGCCTTGGGCCCAGGTCATGATCCTGGGGCTGTGGGATCGAGTTTTGCATGGGCCCCCGCCAGGGAGCCTCTGTCTCTGTCTCTCATGAATAAATAAGTAAAATCTTAAAAAAAAAATCCAAACAATATATAATGAGATCCTAATTTTATTAGAATGTTTATATAATATATATTTACATAGGATAAAACCCTGGAAGTTATTTGTGATAAACTCTAAATGGTAGAATTACTGTCGATTTGTATTTTCTTTTTTATAGTGTTCTATATTTCACAAAATAATGAATGTGCTTTTCTATTTGGAACAAAATTAATTAAGGAAATTCCAAAACAAATAAATAAATACCCATCCCACTATATAGAAAAGGATGAAAAATTTCATGATGTCATTACAACTACCTGAGGCTATGATGGCTCAGGGACTGATTCCATGACTGGGTATGAACACCATCTTCCGCTGATACAGACCTGAGACTGGGAAACACACTCACAAGTCCTTGAAAGAACAATGAAATACAAGAACGTATTAGTAGTGACTATAGATAATTGCTATTTTCCGAATACTTTCCTGTGTTTTCAAATTTTCTGTAGAGACATGTATAGATTTTTTTTAAAAGACTTTATTTATTTATTTATGAGAGACACACAGAGAGAGGCAGACAGGCAGAGGAAGAAGCAGGCCCCATACAGGGAGCCCGAAGTGGGACTCAATCCCGGGACCCCAGGACCATGCCTTGGGCCAAAGGCAGGCGCCAAACCGCTATGCCACCCAGGGATCACCGACATGTACCGATTTTATTTAACAGTATAAAACATCAAAGCAGGTACAGATTGACTAGAAAAGGAAAAGCAAACACAATGAAATGAAGGGGGAGAGAGAATCTAAGATTTGAACATCTGTCTTAAGAGTTTAGAGAATTCCTCCTTCTTCAGTTTGAAACAGGATTTAACTTGTCAGGTGTAATTTGAGGCACACATCATTTTTTTTTCCACACGAAAGTCTATTTTGATAGATACATCTTCCTAATAAAATTTCAAAAATTTTAAACATTAGAACAACTTTTAAATCACAAAAGTATTATGCATTTTTGTGTGTGTGTGAAAAATAATGGGTATCTATAAGGTGGTAATTTCTTCACTAAGAACTGTGATTATTTTGTTATATAGTCTTTCAGATATATAAATAGGTATTTTTAAATAAAGCAGGAACCTATTGTTTTGTGACCTGCTAAATTCACATAATTATATATACTACACTTTTCTCCATGCCATTAAATACATGAGTTTTAGTGGCTGGGATGCATACTTATTTTAACATAAGTGTATGCCATAATTTATTCAAGTAGTCTCCTATTCTTAAATATCTGTTAATTTTCTAGTTTTTAGCCAACTAAGAAAAATGATGATTTTACTATCAGTGTTCTTGTTCATCTTTGATGATTTTTTTTTTTTAGGTAGAAATTGCTAGAACTGAATCGTTGGGTAAAGGACTTCAGTCATTTGCCAAATGATACAGAGAAAGAGTGCTTCAATCTGCACTCCCCTCAGTAGTATCTATTTTGAATATTATAGTGTTATAATGAATCTTAAAATTAGGTAGGGTTAGTTATCCAAATTTGTTCTTCTTTTTCAAGTTCATTTTGGCTGTTATGGATCTTTTGCATTTCCATGTGCATTTTAGAATCACTTGTCAGTTTCTACCAAGAACCAAACAAAACCAAACCAAAAACAGCTGAGTTTTCATTGAGATGGCATTGAATTTAGAAATCAATTTGGGGAGGACTGACGTGGTTTATTTAATTGTAAATATATGTAAGTTAATTTTTTAAATTAATAGCCTTTTTAGTGCAGTGTATATAGGAAAATTGATGGGAAAATACAGGGAGTTCCCACATACCCTCTCCACCTCCCAATTTACCATATTATTTACATTACATGAGTTACTATGGTACATCTTTATAGTTGTTGAATCAATATTTATACATTATTATTAACTAAAGTCTATAGTTTATGGTTCAGAGGAGTCACTCTTTGTGCAGTATATTCCATGGGTTTTAAGATTATATCCACCATTACAGTATCATGCAGATTGGTTTCACACTATGGCTTTTGTATATTGATTTTGTATCCTACAGCCTTGCTAAGCTCACTTGTTCTAGTGGCTTTTGTATACATTATATTGGATTTTATCCACAATCATTTTGTCTGAAAATAAGAACTATTTTACTTCTTCCTTTCCAGAACTTCTAGTACAAGTTTGAGAAGTGTTGATCCACGCTTGGCTCCTGATCTCAGGGGGTAATGCAGTCAATCTGTCACAGTTGAGTATGATGTTAGCTGGAGATTTTTCATGAATATCCTTTATAAGGTTGGGGAAGTTCCCCAGTTTGCTGAGAAAATGGATGTTGGATTTTGTCAAATGCCTTTCTGCACCCATACAGATGATCATGGTTTTTCTTTTATAGCTTAAGGTGGGTGAATTACGTTGATTCATTTTCTAATGATACTTTGTCTTCCTATGCTATATCATAAAATATATGCCTTGACAAACTCAAGTGGATATTTTAATAATAACAAACAGCTATTGAATGCCTACTATGTGTTTGACATTATTTAAAATGCTTTTTAATCTATTAATTACTCATAACAACCCCAGGAAGTAGGTGCCAGTATTATCTAACTTCACAGCTGAGAATTTAGGTAGTTAAGAAATTTGCTTCAGTGTCACAGAACTTAGTGTCTGGCTGAGCCAGAATTTGAATCCAGGCTGTCGGGATCCCTGGGTGGCGCAGCGGTGTAGCGCCTGCTTTTGGCCCAGGGCACGATCCTGGAGACCCGGGATCGAATCCCACGTCGGGCTTCCGGTGCATGGAGCCTGCTTCTCCCTCTGCCTATGTCTCTGCCTCTCTCTCTCTCTCTGTGACTATCATAAATAAATTTAAAAAATTAAGAAAAAAAAAGAGTGAATCCAGGCTGTCTGAGACTAGAACCTGCTTTTTTTTTTTTTTTTTTAACATTACACATACTTCCAGAAACATAGACCATACCATCTTAGCTTAATGTTCAGAACCTAGTGTAATGAATGGGGCATTCATTTTTTTTTAATTTTTTTTTATTTATTTATGATAGAGAGAGAGAGAGAGAGAGAGAGAGGCAGAGACATAGGCAGAGAGAGAAGCAGGCTCCATGCATGCACCGGGAGCCCGATATGGGATTCGATCCCGGGTCTCCAGGATCACGCCCTGGGCCAAAGGCAGGCGCCAAACCGCTGCGCCACCCAGGGATCCCCGGCATTCATTTTTTAAAAAAGATTTTATTTATTCATTTGACAGAGCAAGAGCACAAGCAGGGGGAGCTGCTGGCAGAGGCAGAGGGAGAAACAGACTCCACACTAAGCAGACATCCTGATGTGGGGCTCAATCCCAGGACCCCAGGATCATGACCTGAGCTGAAGATGGATGCTTAACCGACTGAGCCACTCAGGCACACCCCTGAAGGTGCATTCAAACATCTAACAAAAAACAATTTGGAGATAAGGAAAAAGGGTGCAGTGAAGGTGGAGTCTAATCTGCATTTGGTTTGCTTCCACCAGGCATAGAAGCCACATTTTATCTAAAATACCTCAAAGCACCTGTTCTAGCCATATTCACAGGCATTTATATTTAGATTACTAAAGCATGAGCCTCCATATGAAATTTGGAGGAAGAATTTGACTTCTCAATACTATTTTTTAGATTAAAACAGGGTTTGGAGTCAGGTTGAGTTCTGTTCTAAGCACATGAAAAATAGATACTAAAACTTTAATGGTATTTTTTAATCCCTTCTACCCCCAAAACTCTTTCTTTCTCTTTTTATTTTTTATTTTATTTTTCTTCCAAATTTTTATTTAAATTCTAGTTAGTTAACATATAGTGTAATATTGGTTTCAGGAGTAGAATTTAGTGATTCATCACTAACATATAACACCCAGTGCTCTTCATGACAAGTGCCCTCCTTAGTATCCATCACCATCTAGCCCTTTCCCCCCACCTCCCTCCATCAATCCTCAGTTTGTTCTCTACTGTTAAGAGTCTCTTAAGGTTTTCTTCCCCTCTTTCCTTTTTTCCCCCTCCCCACATGTTCATCTGTTTTGTTTCTTAAGTTCTACATATGCTTGAAATCATACGGTGTTTATCTTTCTGTGACTAACTTATTTCACTTAGCTTAATACACTCTAACTCCATCCACATTGCTGCAAATAACAGGATTTCATTCTTTTTGATGGCTGAGTAATATCCCATTGCATATGGAATATACCACTTCTTTATCCTTTCATCAGTCGGTGGACACTTGGGCTCTTTCCACAGTTTAGTTATCATTGATAACGCTGCTATATACATTGGGGTGCATGTACCCCTTTGAATCTGTATTTTTGTATCGTTTGGGTAAGTACCTAGTAGTGCAATTGCTGGATCATAGGATAGTTCTATTTTTAACTTTTTGAGGAACCCCTATACTGTTTTCCAGAGTGGCTGCACCATTTTGCATTCTTACCAATGGCATAAGAGGGGTTCCCTTTTCTCCACACCCTGGCCAGTATCTGTAGTTTCCTGTGTTGTTAGCTTTCGCCATTCTGACAGGCATGAGGTGGTATCTCAACATGGTTTTGATTTGTATTTCCCTGATGATGAGTGATGTTGAGCATCTTTTCATGTGTCTGTTGGCCATCTGTGTGTCATCTTTGGCGAAATGTCTATTCATGTCTTCTGTCCATTTTTTAAAAAGATTTTATTTATTCATTCATGACGGGGGTGGGGCAGAGAGGCAGAGACACAGGAAGAGGGAGAAGCAGGCTCCAGGCAGGGAGCCTGACACAGGACCCGATCCCGAGACTCCAGGAGCTGAAGGCAGGTGCTAAACCACTGAGCCACCCAGGGATCCCCTTCTGTCCATTTTTTAACTGGATTATTTGTTTTGTGGGTGTTGAGTTTGATAAGTTCTTTATAGATTTTGGAGGTAAACCTTTATCAGGTATATCATTTGCAATATCTTCTTCCATTCTGTAGGCTGCCTTTTAGTTTTGTTAACTGTTTCCTTTGCTGCAGAGAAGCTTTTTATCTTGAAGTACCAACAGTTCATTTTTGTTTCCCTTGCGTCCTTGCCATGCGTTTAGTAAAAAGTTGCTATAGCCAGGCCAAAGGGATTGCTACCTGCATTTTCCTCTAGGAGTTTGATGGTTTTATGTCTCACATTTAGATCTCTCATCCATTTTGAGCTCATTTTTGTTTATGGTGCAAGAAAATGGTCTAGTTTCATTCTTCTGAGTGTTGCTGTCCAGTTTTCCCATCATTTGTTGAAGAGAATGTCTGCTTTCCATTGGATATTCTATCCTGCTTTGTTGAAGATTAGTTGACCATATAACTGTAGGTCTGTTTCTGGGTTTTCTATTCTGTTTCATTTTTGTGCCAGTACCATATTGTCTTCATGACTACAGCTTTCTAATATAGCTTGAAGTCT